CAGTTGTCATGTGTCCTGCCGCGGCTGTGCAGTGCCTGCCCTAGCCCCATGCCCTCCCTCCTCGCGGGGACCTCAGTCTGCCCCCTGATGCCCCTTTCCTCCCTGTGTGCCAGACTTACTGGCGGGACACTGCTCTCCAAGCTGCCAGGCTACAAATCGGCAATTGGATTGGGATCAGCCAATATGGCTGGTCAATAATTGGCCGTCAGTATCGGCTTAAAAAATCTTTACCAGTGCACCCCTACAATTAATTTTTTTATACATTTTTATCGTACTCCCTTTTATGTGTCGTCTTTATATGGTAAAGTCTCAGTTTATTCAGTATCTCTACTTACAAGTTTTTCTCTATCCTTAAATTATTTTTGCATTCTTTGAATTGCTCTCCAGTGCTTCAGTAGCCTTCTGAAATAAGGTGACCAGTACTACATGCAGTGTTCCCAGATGAGGCTACACTGTTGATAGACATACAGGCATTATATTATTTAGCATCCAGTTTATTATGCAGTATAGTATCTTGTTTGGGGCTTTATTGACCACAGCTGCACATGGTGTGGAGGTCTCCAGCTGTCAGTAATGATACTTTTGTTTCTTGAATTGTATAGTTAAGTTAGAGTCCTGGAAGGTATATGAACATTTTTCCCTTAAGCATGCAGTATTTTGAATTGATGGACATTGAATTTAATTAGAGGTGCACTGATACATCGATCCAATATTGGATCGACACTGACATAAAGAAAATTGTCTGCATCAGAAATTGGCCTGCTGTGGCCGATAATGTGGCCAATAAATGGCCTGTGCACGCATGCAGCCACAGTGCAGCACATGGTTGGTGAGGAGCACAGCACAGCAGGTTGGTGAACTGCATGCAGCTGGTAAGTCTGCTGTGGTGGAAGGGGAGGGAATGGGTGTGTGTGGGGGGACAATTCAAGGCACCCACAGTGAGGGAGGGAGTGGGGTTGGGGCAGGCGCTGTCCAGCCAGGCCAGGGTGTGGGGTGGGGTGGGGTGGGATGGAGCTGCGGCACATCCAGGGGAGCGGGGACAGCTCTTACTGTTGCGCACACCCTGGGAGGGCATGGGTGGGGAATCTGCATGGGGCGGGCTAGGGTTGTGCTGGGCTTTTCCCGGGGTGGGGGCTGGACCAAGCTGCACTGAGGACAGGTGGTGGTGGCACTGGGAAGGGGACCATGGGATGGCTTCCTCCCAGTGCCACTACCACCCATCCTGAGCACAGCCCAGCCCCAACCAGGAAGAGCCCAGTACAGTCTCAGCCTACAGCGGCAGCCTGCCCCATGCAAATCCAGGGGGCAGAAGCCCTGCTCCGGCCCCCCCCCATGCCCTTCTGGGATGTGTGCAGCAGTGGGAGCCGCCCCCCCGCTTCCCATACCCCCTAGAAAAACCGCAGCTCTGTTCTGCGCCCCAGCCCTACTCCCTCCCTAACCATGGGGGCCTTGATCTGTGCCCCAAGTCCCCTTGCCTCCCTGCTGCCCTTACACCACAACAGACTTACCAGCTGCATGCAGCTTTCCAAGCTGTATTGGAAATTAGATCAGTGTTGGCCGATATGCCTCCTTAAAAATCGGCTGTCGGTATCAGCCCCAAAAATCTGTCAGTGCACCGCCTAGATTTAATTGTTATGTGTTTCCAATTCATCCAGCCTGCATATAAACTTGATAGTTTCTTTGCCATAGTGCAAAACATATTGCCGAGTACACCCATATCACATGATTTAAACCATTTTTTTTGTATTGTGAATATGTCAGTTTTATAGCTTAACGTTTTCTGATTGTGGGATACTTGTTTAACTCCTTGGAGACAGAATCTTTTCCCTTCAGTGTTTGCAGTGAACCCACTTTTACAAAATACAGTATTATATTTCTAAAATGTTTTAGTGACTCTCAGAAAAGAAAAAGTGTTACATCATCTGCACCTCATTCACAAAGTAAAAGTTGCCAAGAGTCTGATGAGATGATAGTGGAAGAAGAAAGCGAGCCACTCCAAGAACTCATAGATGGCAACTTCCCAGTAAGTATAAGTGATCACTTATGGAGAGGTGTTTTCAAGAAACTGAGTAAAAAAAGGACCGGGCCTCTTTATATGTTGCATGTTATAACTGTCATGGAACTGCTGTAGCAACTTCAATCAATAAATTAGAAGTGTGATTTGATGGTTAAATCAAAGGTTATTACAGTTGTTTGAATTGGTTCTTGCTTAAGGGCACAATCATCCAAGTATGAAATGTATAGCTAGAGAATCATTAAATGATTGTTGACCCTGCTAAGAATAAATATAGCCTTTAAGCTGTCAGAACCCAGTTGATCACTCCTTACCATCTTGTTAATCCATCCATCAATGGAGGTCTTTGTCTCAGTATTTTTTTTCTTGATGCTATGTTTAGCTTAGGAAGCAAAATGAAACTGTTGCTTCTGACATCAGATAGCTTTCTTTTCAACTAAGTTAGCAGGAGCAGAGCCCACCACTGTAATTAGGATTGTGTTAATAGTTTCTGCTCTACCAGTGCTTTTAGTCTGTCATAATTATCCGGCACTCTGACCTCCAAAGCTAACATTTTCCAGCCTTCATTTCAGCCCCAACCTTTTCTGTTGTTTTGTTCATGGTTGAACCGTTTTTGTTTAAGCTTTCAGAAAAAGGTGAACTTTTTTTTTTACATATTTGAAGTTTTATGCAGAGAAGGGCTTTTCCTGCACACTTCTGGAGCTACAAAGTGTCTGGGATATATTTGAACAGAGGCGCCTCAAAACTCTGAAATTCAGAAGGGCCAAAGTCAAGGGCTTGTATAAAAAACACGTCACCGTCCCTTATGACTGCACCGCCAATATTCTTGCACATGCCTATGTACTGAAAATAGATAGAAGCCCTTTACAAAATATATGATATGTGTGCAAAGTGCAACTTCTAAAGGAACTTAGTGAAAGCAAAGCCAAGTTTCCCAGAGTATTCAGGGGCAGGCAATTATTTTGGCTGGAGAACTGCTTACCGAGTTTTGGCAAGCTGTTGAGGGCTGCATGGGTAGCCCTGCCCCTTGATAAGTGCCCCTCTCTTAGTGACTATCTTGGGACCAGAAGTCCCACTCCCTAGCCCCTAACTTTTGCCACCAGAAGTCCCTCCCATGCCCTTGGAAGTACTCCTGTCAGCAGGGGGATTTGCCATTTCAGACCAGAAAAATACCAAATTATATTCTAAAAATCAAACATCTATTACAACATTTATTAATTTGATTTCAAAAATATTTTTGTCTTGATTTACATGTGTTTGTGTAGTGTACATAGAGATGATTGTATAATAACTTAAAATGAAGTCTTACTCTTGTATATTGTAGCGGGATGTGGGTGGGAGGGTATGGGTTTGTGGGGCGTGTGGGGGCGGGTGCTGGTGTATGTATGGGGTTGGTGGGGTGTGGGTGTGTAT